CTCTATATTTTCCAGTTAACACCTCAATTTTCAGGTCTGCATAATTCCTAGTATTTTCTCAGAGAAGCTCTTTCATATCCTCAACCTAATCTCACACCCCTTTTAAAAGTCTCTCTGTTTTTCCTTTAGAGAACTATCACTATTTGTAACTATGTTTATTTTGTGACCACTTGACTGTTTTCTTATCTGTCCCATGGGACTCTAAGTTCATGAGACCTGAGGATTATCATAAAGACACACAATCTGACTTCCGAGCCTTCTTGGGTCTCCCATGTTCTCAGCGGTGCTCTGGGGAATACCAAGCAATTGCCTGCTTGTGGCCCACAGACAGTGACCCAGAGGGTTCTGCCCGCCCTTGGGCAGTTGCTCAAATGCCTCAGAGGCTCTTGTGCTGTAGGGAGTCCCACTCTCTGTCACCTCCCACTCTGCTTGACCCAATAACACTTAAGAGGACAGTTGATGTGCTGGCCACTGTTTCTATACACAGATTTTAAGCCCTCTAGAGTTCACGGAAATGATCATGGTTTTACAAACCCTACTCTGCCTCTATAAGGTAAACCTGATAGATGAATAAATGATTCTGTTTATTTTATTAGGCATATACTTTCTAAGAAAAAGTCTGAAGAAAACTATAGTGGATGGTTCATGTTTTCCCCTCTTACATACACATAATCCTAACATATATAGCCAATCAAACTCTACCTAATGGCCAACCTAAGGTGACCTAAAGAAAACTACAATTGGAAAAAGGGGCTTTACCAAGAAAGCACAAATCTGAATTAAAACCCAAGGAATTTAAGAAAAGGGGGGCATCATGAAAAAGGCACAGAATAGGCTGGGGTAAATTATTTAGATGTCCCCAACATTCAAAGCAATGGGCACAGATTCTCAAAGTTAACTCCAATCTTGAAATAACACCAAGTTTCTCTAGGTCCTTATCAAGTAGGTCAATCTTCAAGCTTTAGCTAAGAGCAAAAGAGGAGACAACAGTATAATAATTATTTCCCTTTCTTGACCCCAATCACCAGAAAGGCAACCTGCTCTCTGAGGACACAGGCCTGAGGACCAGAATCAGGAGATCCAGATTCTCTTCCTGTCCTGGCTCTCACTCACTGGTCCATCTCCAAACTTAACCTCAGCTGTACAATAAGGGCACCAGTTCTAATGTCCTACAGTTCTATATTATTATGCTGTTATATAAGAGTGGAGCCAAAAAAACATGGAGTTTACAGAACTTCTAAATTCTGTACTTCTCAGGCCAACCCAAATATTCTCTCTTTAATTTTTAGTAACAAATTTAAGTAGGCTATTGTAAAAGTGATCTATCTATATATTAGACAAGAAGAATGGTGGTCCAGAAACCATCAGGCATAAGGTATGACTAAGAGAAGTGAACATATTTAACATGGAAAAGAGAAGAAAAATTTGATAGTGTTAATTACCATGAGATCGATGTCACAATGATGGCTTATTCCGATTTACTTTATAGGACACAACTGACCAATGGATAAAGATTGCAGGGAAGCATCTGACTCAACAGAAGAACAAGATTTAATAATTAGTTCTGCAAATATATAGACTTCCTCTGAAATAAAATGCCTCCTCTGTCACAGGAGGTCTTAGAAGTTAATTTGAATAATGTTCTGGGCTATTTTAGAGTAGTAGTCAACAGACTTTCTGCAAAGGAATTTAAAGACCACATATTGTCTCTGTCACATATTTTTCTTTGTGTGTGTGCTTTTACAGCCTTTAAAATGATAAAAACCAACCTTAGCTTGTGGACCATTGCAAAAACAGGCAGTTTGCCCTGGCTGGTATGACTCAGTGGACTGAGTGCTGGCCTGCAAACCAAGAGGTCACTGGTTCAATTCCCATTCAGGGCACAAGCCTGGGTTGTGGGCAGGATCCCCAGTTGGGGGCATGGGAGAGGCAACCAACAGATGTATCTCTCACACATTGATGTCTCTCTCCCTGTCTTTCTCCCTCCTTTCCCTTATCTCTAAAAGTAAATAAATAAAATCTTTAAAAACAAACAGAACAGGTAGTTTGCCAATCTCTGTTCTGGAGGAGTGCTGTCCAATAGAAACATGGCTCACATAGGTAACTGAAAACTTTCCAATGTCTACATTTAAAAAGGTAAAAAGAAATAGGTGAGGTTAAGTTTAATATGCTTTACTGAATCCAATATATCTGAAACTTACATTTTAACATGTAAACAAAATTAGTGGTTATAACATTTTTAAAAACTAAGTCTTTAAAATCAGTGTGTATTTCACACTTAATAGAATAGAATATCTTGATTTAAATTAATCATATTTGAAGTGCTCCTTAGCTCCATGTGGCTAGTAGCTGTCCCACCGGACAGAGCAGGCCCAGAGAAACTTGTACACTCCACTGAGAAACAGAAGGGGTGACCTTCCAGTCAAAACTTAATTTTAATGATTCAAATCAATGAGGAACAAAGGCACAGTCAATAAATGTTGGGATGACTGGTACACTAACTGGAAAAATAAGACTGGGTCCTTTCTTGTGCCTTACTCCATTATTAATTCCAGAGAGAAACAAGATGACAACATAAAAAAGTAAAATAAATTCAAATGGCCAATAAAAAAAATGCCAAAAAAAAAAAGTTATTTTAACCACTGGATTGGCAAAGATTGAAAAAGGCCATATTCCCAAATCCTCAATAAAACTAAGTTTTGTAAACTGGGTGCTATTAGTGAGAATATAAATGTGTATGACCTTTCTGAACAGCAGCTTGGCAATATGTATAAACATACACGCCACTTCTGAAAATTCACCCTAAGAGGTAATTTTTACATGAAAAGAACAAAAAGATGAAGGCATAAGGATATTCACTGAAGCCTCATATGTGAGTGAAAACATGTGGAAGCAATTTCAATGTCCATCATCAGTAGGGCCGATTAAATAAAATAAGGTCATTAACAGTAACGTAAATTTCTCGTAGAAAGGTGTTGACATCGCTAGGGGAAATGCAGGTTGTTAAACAACATGTATAATGTGATCCCATTTATATAAAATTTAAGATTTCATGTAAATGTATATATTCATAAAGAGATATCAGAAGCACATTTAATAGAATGTATACAATGATATATGATAGTATATTTATCTTCATTTCTATTTTTGATGATCATCTGACATCTTTTATCTCAGAATTATTTTTATATATCAGCATAATTTCTTTTCAACTGGCACTCCTAGACATATCTTTTATACTTGTCATTTTACAGAGTGTGTTACATGAACTACATCATGGGAGCTCATTCTTTCACTGAAATAACACTGTTCTGACTTGCACGTGTAACTAGTACTCTTAGGAATATCTTTTTATATGTGTGACATTACAGGGTGCATTATATGCAGTACAGTGTGGTGAACTCATTCATTCACTGAAATAACACTACTCTTCTGATTCAATGAATTATTAACACTCTTCTTTTTACACTAACAGAAATTTATTTCAGAGACAACTTTTCCAGAACATCTCTCCTCCAGATTGAGGCCCATTGCCAACGCCTGGGTAAGGTGCATAAGTGTTCCCTGGGGTCTGGCAAGCAGCTCACTGCTCAGGCAGGAGCTGGCGCTGCCATGAGTCTGTTTTTTTTTTTTAATTGAATTTATTGGGGTGACATTGGTTAATACAATTATATAGGTTTCAGGTGAGCACTCTTTAAAAAAGATTTTATTTATTCCTTTTTAGAGAGAGAGGAAGGGAGGGAGAAAGAGGAGGAGAAACATTGATATAGGAAACATCCATCAGTTGCCCCTGCAGGATTCCAACTGAGAACCCTGCCTGCAACCCAGGCATGTTCCCTGATTGGGAACTGAACTGGCAATACCTTGTTTGCAGAATAATGCCTGACCCACGAGCCACACTAGTTAGGGCTTAAAAACATTTTTAAACACATGTCTTTATATAGTGTCATATATGCACCACAAAGGAGTGAACACATTCCTTCAATGAAAAAATCAGCATGGTTTTTATATTTTCTGATTAATATAAAACCTAATTTTTTAACTCTAACAATTCTTGGAGAGAATTAACAGACGTATGTTAAAGCAAACAGCCCTCTTTAGTGAGTAACATTTTCATAGGCTATAAAGAAAGTGGGGAGAAGTACAGGCAACAAAGAAACCAAACATAAAAGGCAGCCACTGGCCTTTCCTAGGTTAAGCTATCATTTGAGTCCTGTAAAAGGCACAGGAAGGCCAAGTATTTTGACTACATCTTCTAAGAGTGGGTGATGCACCAATAACACACACCAAAAAACAATTCCTTAGAGATGAAAGGCATCCTTGAAATATATCTATAGAACATAAGAAGAAAACTTTCTCTTTAACCCAAACACTCTTCTATAAACATCTAAACATACCCAGAGTAATATCACCAGAAAAGATCGCCAAATCTACAGATATGACAAACTATGAACAAATAATAATACATACTCTCATAAATAATAATAAAAAACAAGCCTAACAAAAATAAGGGAAGCAAGGTTATGTGAAGAGTCCTTTGCTAGTTTTCTCTCCACCCACCAACAAAGTAGCTTAACAGGCAGACATGGATAAAGGTAATCTCATGTAATGCCATCTTCAGTCACTAGGTTTTCCAAGTTTGGGGTTTATAAGATCTATAAAATTTGACCCTAAATAATCTTTCCCTTTACCATCACTGACATTTCTCAAAACACTAGAAGCTTTCTCCCAACTAATGAAAAGTCAGCACAAGGCTCATTCACAACAGACTCCCAGGATCTCACTGTCAATAAAATAGATACCATGAAATAATCAGAGCACTCCTGGGGTAACAGTCTCCAAGCAAAACACAGTAAGACACAAAAAAATGATTGATGTTAAGTGTTTTCTTAACTGGGAAAAAATCAACAGCTATTTTAAGAGTTAAAAGGCCGCTTTTTACTGAACTATCAAGTTAGCTCTCCAACAGGCAGGCAGTGGAGATATTTTAAGTGCATTACCTTTAGGAGGAAAATACGACTTGCTTTCAGCTTTGTGAGGCCAGTCTACAACGAGAGGTCCAAACCTGCGAAAGCTGGCAGTGATCTCATCTACAAAACAGAGAAGAAATCTTAATAAAAGAGAAGAAAACACTGCAAACAGAATAGTATAAAACATGTATTTTTATATAAAAAATGTTTTGAGGGCAATTTTGTAAAACATTTTTACAGAAGGCAAACCCACTAAGTAAAATACCAATCGTTTGGGGGGTACATTTGGTTATTTACTTTCACCCTCGAAGAATGTGTTTCTAACCATGATTCATTTCCCTTCACTGCCAATACACTTGATATAAAGTGTATATAAAGGATTTAGAAGAAAAAAAATCTGATGTTAGCTAAGGTGACCTCCTTGTCAAGTAAAAAGGAGATTCTAAAAATAGGAATGTTTTGTTTTTAGAAAAAAGGCAAAAAGTACAAAGAATATTTAAAATATGCTTTCACTCATGTAAAATAATCTCCAAGATCTCTAAGACTACAACTCCTAGATTATTATTGTTATTAATCCAAAATAATCTGTAAGATTATTTTAGAAATAGTTATGATTCTTTTGGTGAGCAGCAGGAGAAATAAGTAGGTAATTCTATTTGGTGATAAGAAGAAGTTAAGTCACTGGTTTCTTTCATACATACCTACTACATATCCTGTAACAAAAATGTTTTAAAAGTTACAGCTCAGTATATTTATCTTTTCCTTCTGACTTTTGACTCAAAGCAGGAGGTTATAACTTGGCAACTACCCAGGTTTAAGATGCCACTCAGCCTTGATCAAAACTTTGTCTTAAAGAAAAATATAATAGATGAAATTAACATTAATACAAGAATAATTTGGAGGAAAATGAGTCTCCATTTGTGTACAACTTCAAAGCAGTAAGTCTAAAATAAAACTATTTTTAGAGACAATTCTCTCATCATGAAAAAAAGAAAAGTATGATAAATTAGAGAAATGTCATAGCTAGAATAATGCTGGCAAAATAGGTTTTTTAAAACAATATTTTATAGCAGATCCAAGGCTGAGGACCAGAGTTGTTTTTTCCCCTTAAATTAATTCTGTCACAATTATGTTTCATTTATCCATTCAACAAATATTTATTGACAACCTACTATGTGCTAACTGGTTTTAAGCATAAGAGAAAAACTAACTTTTGGATTGGTAATCTCAAAAATATTATTTAAAAATTTATTATCAATCTTCATTCTTTTAAAACTTTTTATTTGTTTTTAGAGAGAGGGGAAAGGAGGGAGAAAGAAGGAGAGAAACATCAATCAGATCAGATCAGTTGCCTCTTGCACACCCCCAGCCTGGGACCTAGCCTACCCAGGCATGTTCCCTGACTGGGAATTGAATTGGGGAACTTTTGTTTTGTGGGACAATGCCCAACCCACTGAGCCACACCAGTCAGGGCTAGTCTTCAATCTTTAAAGACAAGAGGGGCTCTTCATTAATAGGTATTTGTATTAAAAGTATGAGATGGTAAGGTGTGATGGACATGAGCAAAAGCTCTGGAAACAAAAGTGATTTTGTGTTCCAATGGCACTAGAGCTACACAATCCTAAACAAATTGTTTCTCTCTGATCCTTTATTTCCTCATCTACAAAATGGAGTTGGTAGGATACGCCTTATAGGATAGCAATGGGGACTAAGTGAAATACTATAACATGAAGCACCTAGCACAACAATGGGCTTATATTGTAGTAAGTTTCATAAAAGTTAACTCTCATTATTGTTTTAAAATTTATCCCAAAATTAATAACTAGGAAACAGGATACTGTTGGGAAGCTGCTATTTATAAACACATATAAACAGCAGACCTAAATGAAGTACATAATCTATCACTGCTCCCTCTACTGAATGTTCTCATTCCCCATTCACTAAGATATGAATGTGCTTAAGCTGCCTTGGAGAGGAGAGGCAGGGTCAGATCACTCAAAGCACAAACGTGGCCTTTATAAAGTCATTAATGAACTCACAGTACCTTCATCGATATCAGGAGGAAGGCCTCCAACAAACACCTTTCTAGAGTAGCGTTCTACTCGTTCCCCATTTTGACAGCGAGTGGGAGAACTTAAGCCAGACGACAAGGACTGATCACCATGACTGTCATCCAGGAAGGCATCTTCAAAGGGAAAAAGAGAAGACCGACCTGAAACAAACGTGGGAGTTTGCACAGTTAAAATTATTTTCCTGGACAATAAATATTTTATTAGGAGACAAAGGGCAAAGTACATCATACAAAAAAATCAATCTTAAACTGTGATTTTGTTTTCAGTAGAATAGCCAATGGCCGATTCCCAACCGGGTCTAGACAAGTTTACACCATTACTTCTGTGTAAAGGTACGGAAAGTACAGACATGACTGGGTTGATACTAAGGAAGAAGCACCAAAATTGCAGCTATTTCCACTGCTAAAAAATTAGTATATCTCAGACAGTCCTTATCACTGCTGCTAAGAGTATTCAGCAGTTATTTATTCTTCCCCCAGGCATTTCTTAAAATAAATGAAAAGTAATCTTTATTCACAGATTTTTATTTGCTTTTTACGGCGACCTCAAAGGTTCAGTTCTAAAGACAGACCCTGATGGTAGAGGGAATATTAAACTGATGAGAGGCTGATAACTTCTTTGAGAGCTGGAATAAAAATAATCAAGTTTTCCTTGCCATTCCAAGCTACTCCAATTCGAAAATAAACATCTTCAATAATAAAAGGCAGGGCAGGCAAATGAAAACATGTAAGTTAAGATGGGGGAGAACAGATGTGATGTGGTTATGACTTTTTTACCCTACTAATGTAGACCATATTTTATATCACCCAAAAAATTATTCTCATTGTTAACTCTATAGTCAAATAAAGTGTATGGAGTAAAGGTACCTATCCACTCCACATGACTACAGGCAGTTAGAGTCTGCTAATAAATGTAACACAATAATGCCATCTGGCATTACAAAATAAAATCTAAGTTTAAAAACAAATATATTTCCTGTTTGAGTCACTGAGTTACTGGTAAAACTTTCCACTAGGTTCTACTCTAAAAACAGTCTTGAACGCTCTAACTTTTGAAAAAGAGAAAAATTCCCTTCTAAAATAAATTCATACACTCTTAAAAAATAAAACAACAGTATCTTCCCCATTTACTCTATCCTGTCTTTATTTCCCTGGAACCTAGGTTCTGCGTCACTACAGCCAACTCTCTGAAATGGAATATAAATAGCCTTAGAAAAATACTGGACATTTATTTCTTCTACAAAAAATAGTTACTAATATAACTCTGTTTATTTTATGAACCCAGGTGGCATAAGAAAGGCGCTGTTTTGATGTTGGGAGTTAATAAATAAAAGGACCAAAGAATTTTTTGTTCATCTATTCCCAGCTTAGCTACTAAGAAACAACAAAATCTGTCCCTCCATGTCACCTAGCTTTTTCAGCTTGACAGGAACAAACAACAGACAGTAAATTCTCATCCCTTGATGTCTGTTTTGATTATTGGGAAGGAAATAGATTTGCAGCAAATATAGGCAAAATGAGCTTCCCAAAGATACCCAGAGATGTTCTCCTCGGCTGTCAGCTCTGCTTTTCATGTAATCTACGCTCAGTGAATCATGTGCCTACTCTGATCAGCATTTCTCACAGAATGTACCTATACCCGCCTCTTACCCTCAACACTAGTAATATGAGATGCTCAGAAAACAAAAGCTGGTGCAGTGGGAGGACAAAATAATATTGGAAAATACTGTATGCCTTATCCCCTTCCCACAGATTAACAATCCACGTTAGAATACAAAAGACTGGGAAAAGTTCCGCAGTAAAATAAATCAATCCTGCATTACTTGGATTTCAGATAAAGGAATCTTTAATGTATATAACTCAGAGAAAAACACTTTTAGAAATATTTACTACACTTCACAAACACCAGACAAATAGGATGGTTATTTGGAAGTCCCTTACAAAAAAATCAAGTCTGGTAAGAGAGATCAGCAAGTACACAATTACAAAATAGAGGGAAAAGTACTAAGGAAGACTTTACCAAGTGATACAAAAGCACAATTTACTGCCCTCCAGGAGACAGGGGCAAAAATATCTTTAGGGTGATTTTAGAGGCAGGCAATTCTGAGCAGAATCTTGTGGAAGTAGAAGTATCTAAGGTAAAAGAACAAGAATCCATAGAGAAAGTTTTGATCTTTCCCTCCAAACCTTCTCCTCTCAAAAAAATGACTATTATCCATATCCAATTCAATCCACAACATCTAGGAGTTACCCTTATCATCTCTATTGCTTTCATACTCCAGTTCTAATCCATCTCTCACTATGTCCTACCAATTCAAGCTATAAAACAATTCTTCAATCCAGTCAATTTGATTCTAACAGCCTGGTGCAGATCACCATCATCTCTCTCCTAAACCAACAGTTTAATGAGTCTACACAATAGCTTGTTTGATTTCTACCCTGCACTCTACAATGCTTTCTCAACGAACAGCCAAAGTTCACCATTTTCAAATATTAATCTGAACATGTTACTACATTCTTCACCCCGACCCTTAAAACCCCTCAATAACTTCCTATGCTCTCCCGGTAAAGTGAAAATACATCACTATAACTGTAAGGCAGAGGCCTACCTCTCGTACATCACACTTGCTGCCTCTCCCTCTGGTTCACTAACCTCCAATCAAAAAGAAAGACCTTTAAATTTCTAGATTATTCTTTGTTGCTTCAGGCCCTAAGGACAAGCTGTAGACCTTAACTAAAACAAACGTCCTCTTCCCAACTCCCTAATTTTCTAGTTAACTCCTACCAATTCTTCAAGTCTCAGCTGAAAAATCATTTCCTCTGGTGGAACTATCCTGACCTTCTACGTCAGGTTAAGTCCCCTTTTCTATCTACTCATAGCACTTTTGTTAACACTTTCCCCAATTACCATTAAAATACTGTATGGGTTTTTATTTGATATCTCATTCCCCAACCCCATTAAATTGTAAAATTTAGGAAAGGGACCCATCGAATCTTGTTCATCACTGTACCTTCATGTTTTAATAAGGGCACATAAAAGGCACTCAATAAATGTTAAAATGAAGCAGCATCCAGCAAAAGACAACAGCATGTGCAAAGACATGGCGCTGCCCCAGAAAATCGAGACCTTTTCTATTCTGTTTGTTCAAGCTTAGATTCTCTATTACAAAAGAAATAGGAAATTCCCCCATTTTCCAGATTTAATATTTCTTTCTAATACTAGCCTTTTTTTTCAAACTATACTCATTCCTTGGAGACTCTAATACTCCCATCTAATCCATCTCCCACCCTGTCACAATGAAGTCTCTAAGATGCTTGTGACCATGTTATTTCCTCTACGCCAAATCCTATAAAAGCTATGCCTCCACCAGCAATTTATACCCAGGAAGAAGGGGAAGGGGGGAGAGTCAGAAGAAATCTGTGACTGTCCAGATGAGAGATGACGAAGTTTTAAACCAGAGCAGTGAAGAAGGAGAAGTAAATGTTCAAGACATTCTGGAACAAAGAGAACTTGCTTTAGGCATGGCCAACATGACCACAGTTTCCCCAGAGTACATTGATAAAGAAAATACAAGCAACAGTTAACTGTAAAAATTTGGACTGTTGTAAAAATTGATCATGGATACTTAAACTTTCCAAGGTTTTAACACCAAATCTCTGTTTTATTATTAGTATTTAAGTACCACAGACTTTAGTAATAAAGTGGCTCTTGGAAATGAAACTGCTAAGAATTCACACATACGTGACATTTCCTTAACTGTGGGTAAGAACTAAGAATGTATGTCTCAGAGCCCAATTCCCAGATCTATTTAATCTGAATCTGTGGAGCTCAAACTTGAAAATTTGCACTTGTAACAAATTTCCCCAGTGATTCATGTGCTCAAGTTTAAGAACCATGGAAATGGAGATTGATTGTTGTCTATAGCAGGCAGCCACTTAAAAAGATATTGTGTGAAGTATATAGAGCCTTGAGAAACATCCAAGTTCAATCAAGTTAAAGGTAGTGCATCCTCAGGAATAAAATGTAAAATCTATAATCTAGTTAGTCTTACTGTAACATGACTGCCTGAAGTGCTGACAGAACAAAAAGGTAGTCTGCAGGAGGTATTTAAAAGAAGTGAAGAGACTTCAGGCCAAGATGGAGGCATATAGGTAGATATACTTTGCCTTCTCAACCAAAAGAACAACAACAAATTTAAAAACAAAAGATAACCAGAACTGTCAGAAAATTAAACTGTACGGAAGTCCAACAATCAAGGTGTTAAAGAAGAAACATTCATTCAGACTGGCAAGGGGGTTAGAGATGGGCAGCCAGGGCAGAGAGGACATGTGGCAAGGGGGCGGCTGGAGGACCAGGCAGTCTCACATCTGTGTGCAGATAAACTGGGAGAAACAACGGGGAACAAGACAGACCACACAACCCAGGGTTCCAGCATGGGAAAAGAAAGCCTCAAAAACCTCTGGCTGTAAAACCTGCAGCAGTTGTGGTGGCGGGAAAAACTCCCAGCCTCACAGGAGAGATGGTTGGAGAGCCCCACAGGGTCCTAGAATGTACACAAAACCACATACCCAGTAATCAGCACCACAAGGTCCCAATTTGCTTGTGGGTTGTAGGGGAAGTGACTGAAGGCTGGCCAAGTGGCACTGTTACCTCTCTGACCCCTCCCCTAAATACAGCACCATAACACAGCCACCTGGGTTGCCCTGCCCTGGTGAACACCTAAGTCTTTGGCCCTTATTACATAATAGGAGCACTGAACAAAGAAATATGGTCCAAATGAAAGAACAGATCAAAGCTCCAAAAATAGAACTAAGTGAGGAAGAGATAGCCAACCTATCAGATGTACAGTTTAAAACACTGGTAATCAGGATGCTCAAAGAAATGGTTGAGTATGGCCACAAAATACAAGAAGAAATGAAGGCTATGAGAAGTGAAATAAAGAAAAATACTCAGGGAACCAACAGTGAAGGGAAGGAAACCGGGACTCAACAACTTGGACCAGAAGGAAGAAAGAAACATTGAACCAGAACAGAATGAAGAAACAAGAATTCAAAAAAAAATTCGGAGAGGCTTAGGAATCTCCAGGACAACTTTAAGCGTCCCAACATCTGAATCATAGGGGTGCCAGAAGGAGGAAAGG